ACACACATACACACACATACACATATACGTGTATAAATTATAGTGAACATGTGACTAAGAAAGCGTGTAAAAGACATGAATTTAATTTTTTTAAGCCGACAGGAACATCAACAACGACAAAAACAAGCAAATAAACAAAGAGAGACCTTGCTCTACACGCCATCTTCCGGAAATGACTCGACTGTTCTCCCGGAAATGACGTGACTGTCCTCCGGAAGTGACGTGACTGTCATGCCTAAATGACGTCAGCCAGGTAAAGATGGCAAACAGCGCGTCATCCACTCACCTTAAAGTGCTCACGTGCATGCAGACAGTGATCTCAAACGCAAACAAAGCGACGTGATATTGCATGATTCAGCAATATAAACGGTTGCTTTTTTAACGAGCGACGGTAATTTGATAGTCTGCGCAAATTCAGTTCGGCTCGTAAGATTCATAACTTAACCGAAAAACGTATTCATCGTTTTAATGTTCTGAGATTTCTTGAAATTTGACTCCTTCTTCATTCTACTGACGTTGCTTATTTTTTATCTCTTTTATGAAGTGTATTACAACGCGTTCTGGGGGTGGACAGTTTATTTTTTGTCTTTAATTTGTGAGGCAGCGTGGTGGAATCAGGCTCTCGTCAATTTTTGGGCATGTAGAGTTATTGATAGCATCTTAAAGCTTGTTCACTCGCCTTTATTTGGATGAGAAAATATCCATTTATCTTGAATATAAGTTGAGATATTTGCGAATGAAGGAGATGGGGGTCACTGTTTTCAGAGGTAAAATTAGTGAGAAAATGGCCGCCAAAGATTAGTTATTTCCTTATCTCAAAAGTCCGTGGTAACTGAAAATTTACATTTTTTTGTGCCTTAAAGAGAACCAACCAACAACACAATGAAAAACATAAATTTCTTCTGGATTTTTGGCACAGCATAAACGTATATTATTTGTTTGGGTTGGTCAAATTTTCATTATAATATTACTTTGGTGGTACTGAATAGGAAAAGATTAATTATTATTTACTTTCTATAGACGTGCGAAGAAATCTCTACTACTTCGTTCCAAGTGCAACTAGCAAAGTGAACGTGACCTTGGCATTAGACAAATCGATGTCAAAGTCAATAAATTCTTTTCAAAGGGAAAGAAACAGAGAGAAAAAAATCTTTAAAGTGCGAAGGCGTGCTTTAGAACAGTGTTTGAATCGATACCATAACAGCTGAATGCAAAGAGGGAAACTGACTACGTCAACTTGGACGCAAAGGTAAAAGCTGAATTATTGACTCCAACCTTTATGGAGCTTTCTAAAATCGGATCTGGGGGCTCTCGTGGCCTAGAGGTTAAAGTGTTGGCCTCTCATTCAAAGGTCCCGGGTTCGAATCCGGGTAGCGACCGAAACATTTTTTTCTCTAAAATTGTCTCCTTTCACCTCCTTTCCTGCTATTTAGCAATGTTCTGTTGTCT